TCTTGTTTTCTATGTTATAGTGACACGATATTTGGCTGGGAAAAACAGAAAATTGACCATAACTTTTCAAGGAAGAGCTGTCAGCCCAAATCCTTTTGATCTTTTTCCTATCTCGATGCCCTCTATCAATCAACGTGTGAATGAAGGGAATCGGCGTTGGGCACCTCGGGAGGTTCCCTCGTCAGTAATAAACCAATCAGCCAAATATCGTGTCACTATAACATAGAAAACAAGAACAATAATGATAATAATGAAAATTTTTCTTCAACAAATAAGATCACAAAAGATTGAAATACTCGATATTTTAGTTTAAATAAAAAAGAAAAATACAACTAAAACAATTTTCATCTATTACGTTTTATTTCTCAACATAGGTAAACTATATCGAAAATGTTACAGTTATTTTATAAATGATATACTAAATGTTACGATTGTCATCAAATTGAAGATATTATTCTATTCTTTTAATTATATATAAATGATCTGTTACTTTTTTTAAAACTAATTGATCTGGCCGTAAATCTAGTGGTTGCGTAGTCGAATTTTATAATCTTTATGAATGAAGAACAAATAGGATATGACAGAATACTTTTTTTTCATGAAAATAAAAAAATTAGTTTTTAATTGATCATTGTACAATTTTTTCTGTGATATATATCGTATGAATATTCATGTTGTTCTTCATTATACGGCGTCAAAAAAGAAAAGCATTCAATGACTGTATTATAGTGACATCTTTCTGAAAAAACGAAAGAATTCTACCAATGAAAAAAATCAATAGTTAATCATAGAAATCCGCCTGATGATGACGATGTTTCTCAATTCGAAGGTGGTTGTTGACTGATTGTTTGTTTTTGTTTGTCGAATAATTCATTGATTCATTGGTATGAGTTAGTTGAAGCAAAATATTATAAGAGAAGAACATAAAGACGTCACAGATTTTTGTTGTACTTACATTTCTTCCTATGCAAATATTGTTATCATCATGGAATAGATTTAAATATATGTATGATCATATTTTCTTGTTGTTTTCATTATAGGTATTTACGCTTTTCTTCTCAAATAATTGATAATGAGTAATAATAAAGGTGGTGTTTTATCTCGAGTATTTGGTGGTTCATCAAAAGGTGGTGCTAAAATGAAAACAGCTCAAACACCACAAGAAGCTATACAACAGTTACGTGATGTTGAAGATGTTTTGAATAAAAAAGTTGAACATTTAGAAGCAAAAATAAATGAAGAAACAGCAATTGCTCGTCGTGATGCCAGAACAAATAAACGAAATGCTTTGAATGCGCTTAAAAGGAAAAAACGTTTAGAAAAAACTTTACAACAAATCGATGGAACTTTAACAACATTGGAATATCAACGTGAAGCCTTACAAGTAAATTAAAAATCATCTTATTTATTAATAAAATTTTGATATATATATATAATAGAATGCTTCAATGAATGGTCAAGCATTTAATGCACTTAAAAGTGCAACAAGTGCTTTGAAAAATGTTCATAAAGAACTTGATGTTGATAGTGTTCAAGATATAATGGATGAATTAGCTGAACAACATGAATTATCAAATGAAATAGCCAATGCTATTTCAAGTCCTGTTGGTATGTTTTTTTTCTTTATTTATTCATTAACTAGAAAACATTATTAAAATAACACATTGATAATGATAAAATTTAAAAATATTCGTAGGTTTTGGTGCTGAAATTGATGAATTTGAATTGGAAAATGAATTGGCTCAATTAGAACAAGAAGCCATAGCAAAAGAAATGTCTCAAGTTGAATTACCAACAGTTCCTGCTCATTCAGTTCCAGCTTATGCTCAACCAGCAAGTGCATCATCAAGCAAAGCAAGGAATGATCAATTGGCTGAATTAGAAAGATGGGCATCATAAAAAAAAATTGTTTTTTGCTTCTCACTCGATTTATAAACAAAAAATAACAGACCGGTTGCCGTCAGTGCATTCCCCCTTTTTTTTTTTCTTATCTTGTTTCATTTATATTTATGTTGATTTTCGCTCATATAAACCTGTGCCGCCTCGTCAATTAATATGATACATAAGAAACAAAAAGGTTCTATTAGTTCTTACATAAAAAAGTATTCTACTTTAAGTTTAAAATACGAAAAATTTCTTTACTGATCATCTTTACATATTTTTTTGTCTGGTTCGATCTTTTCTCCTACTTTGTATACATACGTGCTTTTCTTTTTATATTTATTCTATAATCTATATAACATCAGCAAGATTAATGATTGAAAAAAAATAAAATACATATCTCCCGTTTTCTGTTTTTTTTTAAATTCTAATTTTTTATCTTAATATTTCATTTTTTTGTCATTTGAAATTTATTTGACGATATGTATGATGCTTTTCATTAATCAGATTTATCGTATGGCAAAATATTTTGATTCCAATTCATGAACAACCTTCTAGAAGGTTACCTCATGCTGTCTCACATGGGAATCTAATCGATCATTATATTTACGCTATTTAAATAACAGTAGTGGACAAATAATTTTGCCTATTCAGCTCTTAGTTATCCCACAGAGTAGAACTCGGATAAGTTTTGTAAAAATTAGTAATATTCTCTCTCTTTGCTATTCTTTAGACAATAACAGAATTATGAACGATTATACTTAGGAAATTTTTAGATTAACTTCTTTTTTTATTTAGTCCAAACTATGATCAATTTTCTCTCTCAAAATAAGTCATAAACAAGATTTTCATTATTGAAAGTTTATTAAATTCAATAAGAAAATTGATATTATTCACTATAGTTCTCTAAATCTATATTTGCGAGATTTTATTCTTTGGTTCTATTTCTATTGTGTTTTCTCATAATTATTTTATTTTTAAAAATATTTGAATTTATATCTATTTTAGATAATCAATTGTCGGATTTTGTTTTTAATTTGGTTATTATCAAAATTTCTCTAAAGCATTTTTGTCGATGTTAAAAGTAAAAGGGTTACGCTATAGTAAAACGTTATTAATCAATTTTATTTTCTATTGATAATTATTTCACATTAATTGATTTATTAAATCGTATTCCAATAAAGTGTTAATTTATTTTTTTTTAATAAAATTTTTCATAACAATTTCATCGTTGAATATAGTTTCTCTATTGTTCAGATCAAATTCTATAATAGTTAATTCATTTCTTGATATAAATGTAGATAATATTTTATAACATCTCTCAAGTGTGTTCGCTTATATGATTAATTTTTTTTTTTTTGAATGTAATTTATCAATATTTAAATATTTGTTCATTAAATAACTGAATATAATTTTGTGTACATTATCTAATATAATATATGTTAATTATGTTTCGATTTTAATCTTTTGAATTGATGTAAAACAATAAATAAGAAAATAAAACATTATTCTAGACATGAACTGTTTATCTGTTGATATTGATACTCATTTTCCAGTTGCTGGTTGTTTACCAAAACAACCAACTGGTGCATTACATTTATTAACAAAACATCCTCAATATGATGGACGTGAAGTAATTATTGCTGTTATTGATACAGGAATTGATCCATTAGCAAATGGTCTTCAAGTATTTATTTTAAATTTTTGTTTTACTTTAAAAATCAAAAATTATTTTGAATAATTATTTTTCTTTTTCTCTTTAGAAAACAAGTACAGGAAAAGAAAAAATAATTGATTTACGTGATAGTACAGGTAGTGGTGATGTTGATATTTCAACAATTGTTAAAATAATGTCGAATAATAATCAAGAAGATCGATTAATACAAGGTTTGTCAGGAAGAAAATTAAAAGTAAAAAACAAAATATTTTCTTAAAAAAATAATAATTTTATCTATTTTAAGATTCCATCACATTGGAAAAATCCATCAGGAAATTATCATATTGGAATCAAATCATTAAAACAATTAATGCCAAGTTCTGCTTTTGAAAGACTTTCAGTAATTGAAATATTTTAAAAATAAAAAACAAATAAAAAAATTTCTTCGATTTGAATTAATTTATAGAAAGAACGTCGTGAAAAAATGTTTGATCCTGAACATCGTCTTGCTTTAGCTGAAGCTCAACATCGTCTTGATGAACATATTAATAAATATTTATCACCTAATGATGTCTGTTTATTTCATAACATTAATTTTATCTTTTGAAAAACAAAAGAAAAATTTCTAATTTTTTATTTTAAGGAACAAAAATTAATACGAGAAGAATTTCAATCATTTGTTGATGCTTTAAAAGAAGTAGAAAAGAAATATAATGATCCTGGTCCATTTCTTGATTGTATTGTTTGGAATGATGGAGATAAATGGATGTTAGCATTTTTTTTTTTTAAATGAAAAATATTTTTTTGTTTTCTATTTAAGTGCATGTATTGATACAAGTGAACAAGGAGAATTAGATCAATGCAAATGTTTAACAAATTATATTGATTATCATGAATTTGCAACATTTAGTGCAATAGGTTAGCAAAACAAAACAAAACAATATTAATATATTTAATTTATTATCTTAAATAGATATGGTCACTTATTCAGTTCAAATTCATAATGAAATAAATATTCTTGAAATTGTTGTTGCTGGAGGTTAGTTACTTTTTCTTCTCATTATATTTAACAAATCTTTAAGACTTAATATTGATTTATAGAATATGGATAGATTCATTTAAGGTCTATTTTAAAGATTTTGTTTTTCAAAATAATCTACTAAAGACTATTCAAGTATGTGAGTACATAATTTCGAAGACGAAATAATTGTTTGTCTTTGACATCAATTAAAGTTTTATGACATGATCTTAGGCTAATATTTTTCCTGTAAACTAATATTTTGTTCCTTAACTTTAAAATAAACTTATTGTCATTTCAATTGATTCATTAAACGAAGAAAACAAAAATTTATATTTACTTTATTTGAGAAATTTTTGTTTGTAGCATCAACACAGGTTTTAAAAGATAGATAAAAATAACTAACTAATATATTAAGTTGTATTCAACATTAATTGAAGTCTAATTGAATCTAGGAAGTTGTAGAGTTCGCTAGGGTATCTTAACAAGATCTGATCAAAAGAAAGAAAACATCTTTAAGCTTATGCTTTTTTGAGTAGTAGTTTTTTTTATCAACATTTATTTGTCTTCCAATTGCATAAAATCAGTTGAAAATCTCTGAAATTTAAAATAATAAAAAAATAATATGCAAAACATATTTTTGTATTTGTTAAACTAGGTAGATGATAAATTGAGCACAAACTAATCTGACTCAAATCAAATTTTGATTGATACAATAAATGAGTATTGAATTTCGATCGAAAGATTTGTATTTTATCTTCATTGACTATTCAACTACAGAAATGTCTCATACCATCTGTAAAGTAAAATGTTCGATAGATTCATTTTAATATGTTACAATTAACATTATCTTTTTCGTCACATGCATATTTTATTAATGAGTTGTAAATACAGTTATACATAAAAAACAAAAGTTGTTTACAAAGTCTATTGGGAATAGCAAATTTTTCAAGATATTGTATCCTATTTCAAGGAATTATCTTACGCCAACTCAATTTTTTCCAAAGTAACGTCACCTGAAATTTCCTCTGTCTGAATACATATGACTTTTCATCAGATGAACAAATTTTAATAGGTTTATTGGAAAAATACTCGAGTCCTACTATTATGATTTCCAAGAAACTTCCTCGCTTACTTAAAGAATTTCCCCTCAAAATTTGAAAATCATAGCTGAAAGTAAATTTTTGTGCAACCAGTTTTTTTTACAGGTGACTTTTCTATTGAGAAAAACGAGATTTAGTGTCGAGCATTCTCACAATTTATATTTGAAACTACTTCGAAATGTGTATCTAGTTTAATGACTAAATCTTAAGAATTCTTCTGGAAATTACATATACATTATGATTAACCTTAAAGTTCGGTTTAGTTCGACGTATTGATCTGGAATTTTTTTGTAAAATTGTTTCTCACTAGGATCATTCAACTTTGAAAATATTAGTCAAAACGACCTATATTAAGTAAAAAATCGTTTGTAAGAAAGAAAAATTTCTTTAATATAATGTAAAATCAAAAAATCCCGGTAGTGCTTTATGATCACATAAATGACTGATTTTTCTCAGTTATTTTCTTGAATGATTATACTATTCGAAACATAGTGAAATTTGACAACCTAAAAAAACAAGTTAGATTAAATATTGAATGATCAATCTTATGTCTATAAAAGAAAATTTCTTTAATGTAATAAATATTTGAAATATTTATTTGTTTAGAATATAACTAATATTTTTTTATTTAGGATCTCATGGAACTCATGTTGGTGCTATTTGTGCTGCATATTTTGAAGAATCATGTGAAGAAAATGGTATTGCACCTGGTGCACAACTTTTATCAATTAATGTTGGTGATCATCGTTTATCAACAATGGAAACAATTCCATCTTTAGTTCGAGCTGTTTGTTTCATATTTATTTATTTTCTACTGACAAAAAAAAAATGTTTTTTTTTATTTATTTTTATTAGATAAAATATTGTATTGATTATAAAGTTGATATAATAAATATGAGTTATGGTGAAGATTGTCATATTCCTAATTCTGGGTAAGAATTTATTTATAAAAAAAAACTAAAGAAAAATTGTATTTATATACATATACATATATGATAGACGAGCTCAAGAATTATTCAATGAAGCTGTTGAAAAACATGGAATAATATTTGTTTCATCAGCTGGTAATAATGGTCCAGCATTAAGTACAAATGGTGCACCTGGTGCAACATGTACAAATCTTATTGGTAGGTAAGTTATTTATGAAATAAATATAATATACTTCTGTTTTCCTTTATTATTTATCAGGTGTTGGTGGTTATGTAACACCTGAAATGCAATTAGCTGAATATGCATTAAGAGAATCTACAGGTTGTACAACACCATTTACTTGGTCATCACGTGGTCCATGTACGGATGGATGGTTAGGAGTTTGTATTAGTGCACCTGGTGCTGCTATTACAAGGTTTGGTTATTTTTATTTTAAATTAAAGAGAATAAATTTTATTTTTGTTTTTAGTGTTCCTCAATTTAATTTATGTCAACGACAATTAATGAATGGAACATCAATGGCATCACCAAATGCTGCTGGTTGTGTTGGTAAAATTAAATTGTTTTTTTCTTTCTTTTTCTTTCTAAAGAATTCTTCATTTTATTTTATTTGTTTAGCTCTTTTATTAAGTGCATTAAAACAAGAAGAAATCGAATATAGTCCATCATTAATTCGTCTTTCATTAATGAATACAGCACAAAAATTAGATGATGAATTTTCTGTTGGTGCTGGTCTTATACAAATTCATAAAGCTTTAGATTATATTCGTTCATTAACTAAACCTTCATTAATATCAAAAATTCAATTAGATATAACAGGTGGTCAAGGACGTGGAATTTATTTAAGAGAATTTGATCAAGTTCAAACAAGTTCTGGTGATATACGTTTAACTATTAAATCAAAATATTTACAAAAAAAAACTAATCAATTAGTTACTTATGGAGGTATTTTAAAAAAAAAACATTCTTTTTTATTTATCTATTTTTTTTATTTTATTTTAAAAAAAAAATGTTGATTTAGATCAAGAAGTAAAAATAAAATTTGCTTGTCGTTTATCATTAATATGTGATCCACCAGTTAGTTATGTTCAACATGGAAAATTTCTTGATTTAGCTTATAATGATCGAACATTTGATATAAGAATTGATCCATCACATTTAAAAGAAGATCAAGCTCATTTTACAGAATTACAAGCATTTGATACTAATCAAATTAATGCAGGACCATTAGCTCGTTTTCCAGTAACAATTATAAAACCAATAAGGTAAAAAAAGTGTAAAAATAAAATCTTAATTAATATTTTTGTTTAATGTTAAAGTGTAAATTCACAAACCCATTCTCTTGAATTTAATAATCAAACATTTAAAGCTGGTCAAATTCGTCGTCATTTTCTTCAAGTTCCATCTGGTTCAAATATAGCTGGTTTGTTTATATAATTTCAAAATAAAATAAAATAAAATAAAATAAATATAATTTGTTTTTTCCTAAAATAGCTTTTAAAATAACAAATCATTCGTCTGATATATCTGCTCAAATAAATTTACATTTTATTCAATTAGAACCAGGTCGTTCATTTCGTTTAACAGAATTTGAAAAATTAATTCGTTTATCACCTCATTCAACATTTCAATGTTATTTTAATGTTCAAGATAAACGAACATTAGAATTATGTTTAGCACGATGGTGGTCAAGTTTATCTATTATTGATACAAGTTATTCAATTGAATTTCATTCAATACTTATAACACCTTCATTTTCAATTCATTTACGTAGTAGTCAATCTTATGAAAGATTTATTTTAGAAAATCGTTTAAATAATACTTATGAAGATATTAATGGTTTACCTATTGTTAATTGGAAATATTTAGTACAAACATTAAGACCAAATAAAGATGAAAGTAAAATACAAGTTTTATCTAAAAGAGATTGTTTAACTGAACAAAGACAAATTTATCAATTAATTTTAACTTATAATTTTACATTAGTAAGAATAATCTACTTTTTTTTATCTTATTAAACAAATAATTTTCTTTTTTAGTTGAAACCTTCAGAAATTCAAGTAAAATGTCCATATTTACATGAATTTCTTTATGATAATGAATATGAAGCTGCATTATGGATGTGTTTTGATAGCAATAAACAATATTTAGGTGCAGGAGATGTTATGAAAAATGTAAATAAACAAAATATGAAATTTAATTTAGTTTTTGTTTTTGTTTTTAGTATTCAGTAAAATTAGAAAAAGGTGATTTTGTTATTCGAATGCAAATTCGACATGATAAATATGATTTATTAGAACGTTTATTAAAAGACAATGGTGGAACTGGTTTAGCTTTACATATGGAACATAAAGTAAATGGATTACCAGCACCAGATTTTTATCATTCATTAGATAGTTTACATACACAAAAGAAAAAAATTCAAGCATCAACTATTAAATTACAATGGGGACATCAAATGCCAATTTATATGACTACTGTACCAGAAGACAAGTTTGTTTTATTCGTTTATTTTCATTAAAAAATTATTTATGTTCAATTTAATTTTTAGACTTCCGAAAATAATTAATTCAACCGCAGGAACATTTCTTTTTGGAACAATGACATTTCCCAAGAATGAAAAAATGAAAAAATTGGTTTGAACGAGTTTTATTTTTTGTTTTATTTTTTTGTTCGATCTAAAGAAATAAATGATTTTTTTTTTGTTTTAGGAAATGAATACTATTTATCAATATTTTGCTGAACCTATCTCATCATCTTCATCAAGTTCTTCGAAAAAATCTTCATCAAGTAGTACTAGTAATACTAATAAAAAACAAGTAAATCCATCTGTGACAACAACTGATGAAGGAACATCGAATAGTTCATCACAGAAAGATCAACAATATCAAGAAGCATTACGAGATTTAAAAATCTCTTGGATTCCGAAGTAAATAAATATTTGTTTGAAGTTTAAAAAAAAAAAAAGTATTTTTCTATAGATTAACTGATGATCAAAGTAAATTATATGAAGAATTAATATCTGAACAACAAGATTTAAATAATCATATTCCATTACACATTGCTCGTCTTCAACAACTTGAAAATCAATTAAAACAACAACAATCTTATTTAACAAATGAGAAAAAAGATGAAAAATTAAATGAAATTATTAAATTTATTCAAGATAAACTTTTATCTTTAATTGATGAAGATCTTATTTTAAAATTTTATGGTCAAAAAAATTCATCATCAAATGAGAAAGAAATTCAACTTATTAAAAAGTATTTAACAAAGAAAAAAAACAAAAAAATTTCTTTAAAAATTTTTTTATTTGTTTAAGTGATATGGAAAAACGTCGAAATTGGTTAATTGATATATATGTATCATTAGGAATATCTTTATGTGATTTATCAACAATCAATGATGATACATTAACTCATTTAACAAATATTTATAAAAATTTACAAAAACATATTGATATTAATGATGGAAAATTAACAAATTTTCTTTATAAATATAATTTAATTAAAAAATCTTATGGTCGTTTATGGAAATTACTTTTAAAACAAATCGAAGAAAAATCTTCATCACAACAACAAGAATATGATAATAAATTACTTCAAGTAAATTATTTTCTTATTTAATTTGAAATTAAATTATTTTATTTTAGCTTTATCAAACAATGAATATGAAATATTTAGTTACATATCAAGAACGTTTAATTATTGCCAAATATCCTCAAACTTATGTTCTATTTTAGTTTTTTTCTTTTTTTTTTTTGCTAATTTTCATTTAATAAACAAACAAACAAACAAACAAATATTTAGGATTCATACATAAAATATTTACGTCTTTATCTATCATTAAGAAGAAATTGTGATAGATTTAACAAAGAAAGAAAAACATTTTGTTTTTTTAATTTGAAGATATAATAATGACTATTGATGATAGTACTATTGATATTCATCTTTCTAAACTTGTTGGTTAGTTTAATGATTAAGTTGTTGCTTTTTGTTGTTTAATAATAAATTTGATTTTTTAATAGATTGGTTAGTCGATCGTCGTCATTGTTCAAAAGATTGGAATGAACGATCAATAGCTATTCGATCGAAAATTCAACAAGCTATTTTAGACATGCCAGAACATGATGAAATAAAAAGATTACTTGGCTCATCATGTAGGAATATTATTTATCTTGAATTTTAATTTTTTTTTTTTTTTTTTTTATTCATAGATTTGGATTATTTTTGTTGTCTTAAAATTGTTGAAATATTAAAAGAAACAGAAAAAGAAAGTAAAAATATGTTTGGCATGTATTCATCACAACGAATGAAGGTATTTAACATAATTTTATATATTTTTTTTTTGATCATTTTACAACATTTAGGATTGGAGAACAATTGTTTCAAATTATGAAAAAAATTCTGTTTATCTTGGTTTGTGTTGTTTTTGTTTTTGTTTTTGTTTTTCTCTTTTTGTTCATGTTTAACATTTGTAGTTGAATGTGGTCAAATTCTTCAACGAAATGTTGTTTTTGAAATTCCTGCATTAAAAAAACATATTGGAAAATGTCAACAAATTCGAGAAGAATGTAATACACGTCATACAGAATTAGATAAAAATATTCATGAAATTGAAAAACAATATGTACAATTATGTTCTGATATGTCAATTAAAGTTAGTTTATTATTTTATTAAATTAGATTTATTAAAAATTATATTTTATTTAGGGTGATAATGTTCAACAAGAACTAATTCAACGCATTGAATATTTACCAAACATATGTACAGAATTAGCTAGTGGAGATCAAAGTTCAATTCCATTATTAAAACCTGCTGTTGAATTTTATATAGAATTTATGAAACATTTTCATCCATCATCAAAATCTGATAATGAAGAATTTTTACCTATAATTAAATATTTAATTGAAAATGGAAATACAACTGTTTATCAATGGCGAACTGGTGGCCATATACCTGTTAGTATTGAACGACCACCATTAAATTATAAATTTGCTGAAACAACAGAAACAAATGAAGAAGAACCAAATATTATTTTAGGATTAGATGATGATTTAATAACATCTACTCAAGGTATTGAAGTTAAACAAACAGCAGATCAATCTGATGTTATTGATTTTGATACTGTATGAAATAATGTTTTGTTTTAAATAATGAATAATTTTATTTCGTTATTTATTTAGGAAGCGGAAATTGATTGGTCTGCTATTGATACAGTACCAGAATTACTTGATCCAGCTCTTACATCAAATGGTACAAATCCTAATTCAATTGCTGATGCTCTTAGAGATGCTGCTCTTAATGGATTAAATCATCCAAGTATTTTATTTTATATTTTATTTTTTTTTTAGAATATTTTGTTCTTTTATTCAACTAGTTGATGATGGTATCGCTCATGGTAATGATGCATTAACATTATTAGAAAATCGTTCAACATATACATTATTTATTCATGAACTTTATCGAGTTTGTTTAATTTTTATGATTTTGAAACAAGAAAAACAAAATATTTTCTTTTTCTTTTTCTTTTTCTTTAAGCTTCAATCATTTTTAAAACAACGTCTTAATGAATATCATGTTAATGAAACTATTCTTATGACATTTATCATGCAAAATACACCAGTATCAATACAAAAAATAAATGAAAACGGTAAGAAAATATTACAAAAAAAAAAGATAAAAATTATCTTGTTCTATTTAAGATTTAAAATCCTTTTTAAAAAATGTTGATTCAATATTTACATCGATTGCTCATCGACAATTAGATCGTTTATTTTCAATGCGTGATTCATACAAATTTGTTGATCGTCTTATAAATTGTTTTCAACAAAAGAAAGTTTCTATTGAACGTAATCGTTTACAACAAAAAGAATTAGAAGAAAAAGCATCAAGTTCTTTAAAAGAAGAACAACAATTAAAAGAAAAACTTAATTTATTAATTTCATATACTAAACAACTTAAAGAACAGGTTACATCGATTATATATATATTTTTTTTGTATTAATTACTGAACTTTATGAAATATTTTTAGGTAGCTAAAGAAATTTCTGTGAAAAAATGTCAAAATCGACGTATTAATATAATGGGTGAAATCAACACATTATAAAGATTTTATTTTATTTTTTGTTTTCTTTTAAAAACTGTGCAATGTGTATGTGTGTGTGTTCGGGAAATTGGTTTTATCATTGTACACAAATTAATAAAACAGATGAAAGAAATTCCAAAAAGATTTTCATTTCCCATGAAAAACTTTTTTCGCTAGATAGACAAATATTTCAGTATACAATCTTTTTCTCTTCACAAAAGCCAAACTTAAATATATTTACTTAGCAATAATTAACATGACTCTCGATGTTGGAAAGAATTGTGTCGACTAGTTCTCCTACTTTTTGAATGTGTGTGCTAAAATTTTCTAGTTTATGGCGAATTTATCAGCGCAGTAGCAATTTCTTATAGATCTGGCATCTCAAAAATATTGAGAAACACTTGTAGCTTAAATATGAAAAGACTTTCTTTCCAGAGAACATTAAGCAAAGTATAACTATTAGCAGTATGAAGAAGCTTTTCGTTTTGCGATAAATTATCCTTGACTTTGTGCTAGACAGTGAAGTTTGTTGGAATTCGTGTGGAACATCAAATTAAAATCGAAACAAAGAAAGATTTTGTGTAACTTTTACATGAAAAAAAAATTTCCTAACTCGATTAGAATGTAATGAAGAAAAAGAGTAGATTTGTTTTCAGTGCACGATCTTTTGTTTCAGAAGAAGAAGAATTATAGCTATGAAAATGAAAACTTTCTCGAAGTAGAAGAAGAAAGCATACCACCTTCGATTGCCATATGCCTGTTTCTCAAATCTTTCCGATCATATGACTTTCTAAAAGTATCTGGAAACAATTTTGAATACTGTCTGTGAAAAAACTCAACCTCTTCCAATTCTAAAAACTATTGAGAACCATGATAGGTACCAATAAAGTGCCATTGTCTTTTAATTCATTTTAGTTAGAACTCTACAAGCTTTCTTGTGAAAAGCATCCAATGGGTACAACGGAAATAGAACTTATTCATATAGTAGGGAAGATATCATAGGATATCAGAGCTAGTCAACTATCAACTTTCTCGAGTACGAGTACTTAAGAATGAATTGTTTAAAACCTCCTCCAATGAATTTTAATTAGTAGTTTTAGATATGACGTATCAATTTGAAATTGACAAATTATCAGGGTCATGAATCAAACTGTTCTTATTATTACGATAGTGTAGAAAGCGTTGACTTATTACGACTTTCAATTGTTTTTTTTCAACATGAAACTAATCTTTTTTTCTGTAATCTTTACCAATTAAATTGACAATACTCGATACGTTTTGAACAGTCCTTAAAAATAATAAGAATGTTATCCGCTTATAAACTATTATTTATTAGCAAATCGAATACTCTACAAGCGAAACGTTCTTACTTAATTAACATACACAGGATTGAGTGAAAAATGAGTCGAGATGTGGCTGCTTCCGTGACTAACATAAAGAAAAGTCGTTGGGAACACAAAGAATACTATGATTGATATATTTTCAAGTACGGCAACAGGGCGAAATAAAAAGATACGCAATGTAACGCATGTTGTTTTATTTAGGTGATTTGGGTCGTCTTCTCGTCGTCTGTTGACAAAAACACGTTGACCAAACAGATATTGAAAAACTTTCGAGATTTTCTGGATGTCGACATGTTTTGTTCAACATTTCTTCGGTTTGATTTTTTAGACTATTTCATATATTGGACTGCCGTTGTGGACAGTACTAGGGATAATCAGACAAATGTGACGATAATTTTCGGATAATGTTGATCATATCAAAACTCGATGGAATCCACTATGACGGTCGATCAAAAAGTATTTTGATAAAATGCTTGTTCATTTTTGAACCACCTGAAAGTATTTCTGACGAGTCAAAATCTATGCGTTAGAATCAGAATTTTGTGCTCTTTCTGAATATTGACTTAGAAATTTTGTGTCGGCTTCTATTTGAGAGTGGTTAAATAATCTTTGAAAGGTGCAAAAGAATAATTTGAACGAAAGTTTTTTCCGCATATTTTGTATTTTTGCTGTTGTGATCCGATTACAAAATATTCTATTTGAGTGTTTTTGTCTTTGGACAAAGCTTCTGAATTTTGGTTTCTTCCTAAATCGCCATTTTTGAAAAATCATATTTTTGACTAAAAGCGTTTTACGTGGAAAGGAGCTCTTAGAAAAATGTGTATAGATTCCCTTGAGTAAAAGCTACCACTTTGTTCAATGTCACATTTGTTGAAGAATTGTTTGCTCTGAAAAAACTACCTAGTTCAAGAATTTTTCACATCATGCCAAAGGAACTTGTATGGGTTAGCAAAACCTGTTTGTTCGCAATTCAAACTAATTGTTTAAATCTTTCAAAGATTTCCTCACTACTCTCGAACAAAAACAGAAACAACATGTTTAGGTCCATATTCAGAAAGAGCATAAAATTATGGTCCTAACCCATAGTTTTGACTCATCTGAAAATACTTTCAAGCAAGCCACAACAAGTAAACATTTTCATCAGAAACTTCTGTCCACATGTTCCGTCCAAACTAATGTTTTGGACTTTTCAAAGATTATTTTACTACTCTCGAATAGAAACCGACACAAAATTTCAAAGTCAATATTCTGAGAGAGCATAAAATTCTGGTTATAACGCATAAATTTTTACTTGTTGGAAATACTTTTAGATGGTTCAAAAATGAATAAACATTTTGTCAAGATACTTTTCGACTATCATTCAGTATCTGAACATAGCCTAATATTTCAAAGTATTGAACCAAAATAATCAATCGAGTGTGCCCAATGCACATTGGCTCGATATTTTTAGGACATGACAAATTGGCAATTACCATAAAGCATGCTTTCGACTATCACAGATGCAGCTAAAACCGACTCTTCGTTCGATTTATCACCACATGCTCTGTTTCTTATCGATCCTCCTCGTGAGTATCGCGTCTGCGCATGTTTTTGTTCGTCGAAATAAAGAAAAAGGTTTTGCAAGAAACGTATTTTGCGCGTTTCGAGCAATTTGCATCTACACTGGGCAATGTTCAATAAGACAATGTGCCATTGTAAAACAAAAATGGATATTTTCACTGAAGTTCGACTATCATCTACAAGAAGTTTCTAGAAACAGATGGAAATCTATCCAGTTTTGTTGAGCATGGTCGATTTTCTCAATTTGATGAAAGAAATATGATGATTTATCACGATCACTAGGAGACACTCTGGAGCTAGGCTTTGTTGATGTCAATATAAAACACAAAAAAGAAGCGCTCAAACGTAGTTTTGTTTTAACATAATTATTTTACGCTTGAAAATTCTTTTAGTGGCAAAGATTCTACTTTGAAACAGTGAACAACGTAGTAATAAGATAGAGCGTTTCAGAAGGACTCTTATGTGTATCTTCTTGATAGAAGTATGCTTTTCCTCAATGGGTGCTCTCAATACTTCGAAGTTGAAGAATGAATTTATTCAAAGAATCTTCCAGTAGAAAAGAAAATGTTTTCCTTATTCACTAGAATCAACTCTCGAAGTTTCAGTTTCTAATCATTTAAGTTCATTGAAGACTGAATAATTCTATATTAGCTCGAAGGAAGTTGAGAACTGTTGTTGGAAACCTCAATACCTTAACTTTAAATATGTACAATATGAGTTTTGAATTTAAGATTTAAATGTCAAACAATGATTGAAGTTTGGAACAAATCGAATGAAGTTAATGTTAACTCGAGTACAATTCTACAAAACAGTCACTTGACTATAATTAAACCTATTTCGTTCGTTTAATGTAGAAAAGAAGATAGGCATCTTTTGATATGATTTGATCTTTTGAATAAATTGTTGAAACATAGGAGTCATTGAATTCGTACCATTCATCTGTACTTGGCTTTTCTCGTGCATATGCAGTATAATGACCACCATAGATAGATCCAATATGGTTACTAACAGCTATGAGATCATAGATGGCCTTTTCGTTTTTTGATAATGATGATAGGAGCTCACTTAAATCAAGTCCATCAGTCGGACAATCTACAAGTGTGTCTAGTTTTCGACGCAAGCCGTTTGCATATGAAAATCGTTTAAGTTGAATGATGACAACACGTGGAAGACTTTTAAATTGAAGTTGTTTGGTAGCGGGAGTGTTTTGCTGACATGTTTTTTGTTGGCAAATCCATCGATCATCAAGTGTCTCGGGCGAAACAAATCCTTGAAGACATTCTTCAATTTTCAAATTAATCAGCTCCTCATCGAATCGATTAGATTGAATACAACTTATGTAATGATCTTGTTCAATAAGTGTTATTTCGTCTTCGGATAATTGTCTGAGTGGTGTTTCGAACTGAAGTTGTTCTTCTGACTTCTTTCCTATGGCAACGATTCGATTAAAGAGATGATCAAGATCATTAAGTTCAATAAATCGTTGCACAAGATTTTCGACTCGTCCATTGGAAGCTACACTCACTGATGTACGATCTTGAATGCCATCTTTCGTGATAAAATTTATTACAAATAATCGTTGTTGATGATTGAGTGATAGTGGAAGAAAGGCAATGTGATTTGTTGTACTTTGTACATGTTTGCATTTAAGGCAAGTAACTTTTGATAAAAGCGTTCCGAAAAAGAGCTGTTGAATAATTGTATTTCGATCGGGTTTATTTTTCTCTTTTAATTCATCGTGCATAGCATCGAGAAGAAACGTGATGAATTCCTGAGCATCTTGTTGATCCGATGTGGCAAAACTTGGAGCAAAATAACCTATTGTTTCCTTCATTCGTGTCGGTTTAAATGAACTTATGTAATCTGAGTCTGTACGACTTGGTCGTCGCATATTCCATATTAGTTCAGCATAAGCTCCTGTCATGTCACCACATGAATCAAATGGATTGTAACCATCTTGATGATCACCAGATGTATAAACTCGAGCAAAACCGTCCAAAAAAAACTTAGTCAACGGTGCTACATGGATGAGACATTGAAGTGCACTATTCATGAAACATGTATTCCCAAGATTAACTAAGCCAAGTGGCTTTGAACTAATCTGATATGTGTTCGGTGGTCTAGGTAACATGTCAATTTGGCTGTTTGAAATAGAGGAATTGTTTGAATGTGTATCTATCATATTCGCATAAATTTTATTACCAGGTTTGATGCCAAAATCAGCCAAACATCGATCCGGTTGCTTGTCGTCAATTTCAATCGTTTCTGAATATAATCGAAACTGAAATCTTGACTCGTCTTTTTTAAGCGCTGTGATTTCAGCCATCACTTTAGCCACTGTATCCGCCGCCGATACCTCAATAGTAATAGGCTTCTGTGTCGAGAATTTGCATTGGACATAGACTGAGCGCTCTTTTGTATCCAACAATGGCGATTGCAACTTATGGATTCTTCTTTCCATAGTCGTCGTTTGTTTTTTTCGAAGATTCTCTCTAACAATCGCATTAATGGTATCATTAGACTTGATGCCCAACTCTCGTAACATTTGTTTCGAATCATTTAGAATTAAAGATTCATTTTCTAAATTCTTGAATTCGACATGTATATCATAATATGGTAGGAATCGACGTAAAATCTGATTTTCTAGCTCAATAATGGAGTCTGTAAGTGATGCATATAATAATGTACTACCATGTAAATTACTCGTGACAAGAACTTTTATGTCTTGATCATAATTATAAAAAGGATTAGATTTCATAATTGCTACAAAAATTGAAGAATAATTAGTAAGACGAAATTCGCTTAATTTCTTTTCGGAGTTGCATGGTCGATTGAGGTTTTCATTTAAGAACGTATACAGTTGAATACTCTTGTGATCAATAGAATTCAAAGCAAAGATTCTGATGACTTCATTGAGAAGCATGTTAACTGTTGTGGATTTCTCGTTCCATTCGCATTTTTTCTTTCCCTTATCATATGGTGAGAACAAGATCAGTTGTGATGATTTGCAACGATTACCAATTTCTAATGGTTCACAACATAATAAAGATCCATTTTTTATTTCCAATTCTTGCAATGTTATGCGAGCATTTCGTTTAGGCGCCACATAGTTCCGTCCACCCAGAGAGATCGAAACCAAAACAACTTTGTCGGAAGAAATCATGTTTTGTTCTTCAAGCGCTAGAAATTCGTTAACAACTGTGCTAATTGTATTTTTTGGTAGAAAACGAATGCGATTCTCTATTGTTATACATTGTTTTTGATCAATGTATAGAAAATCGAGTGCCAAACGTTGATCTATATCGTTAATTGTCATATGATTGTCGGTCTTGCTTTGTTTACTTGAAGAAAAGAATGAGCCATTACCCATTTCAATAAATAATGATGAAAAAAAAATCTGATTCACTTATCCAAGTAAGCTTTATGATTTGAATAAGATGCGGCGTACCTAAACAAAAATTATCAAAATAAATGACATGTCAGTTCTCACATTCACGAAAAAGAATTAATAAAGAAGTTAATTTTTATACATTGCATCGCTTGTAAAATATTTTTAGTGTATCAACTATAATTGATAAAAATAAAATTCCACACCTTTTCTTTTCAAATTCTCAAACTAATGGAAGGCAAACAATCATCAATGCTTTAACAACTTGTATATGAAGAAAAAAATTGAAAGAACACGCATAGAAATTTCATTGTTCTGTTACTATCAGCAAACAATTTATCGGCTCGTCCTTTTTCTTTTTCCATGCAGATGTTAAAAAAAAAAGGCTTTTGCCATTAGTAACGATACACTAAATGTCAACAACAGAGCCGTCGTTATGAAGATTTGGTGAAATTCAACATGCAAAAAAGCTCAAAAGTCAAGAACTATTGAAAAAAGCTGACTTATGTCTATCGTTACTATCAATAAAACACTCATGGAACAAGTCGATTCTAATGAGTTGATGAAAGAAATCGTCTTCAACATAACCACACAATTTCAATCGATAAATGTTATTCTCTCTTTTTCTGTAAGGTTCACGTCGTCGTGAACATTCATTTGGAAAAATCCATGATTTCGTTCGTGAGAATGCATTTCTGTTCTACGCGAGTAGAACAGTGTTCTGCCTTGTTGAAAGAATCAACCAAGACGATATTCATTGTTTAGGATGTGTATGTCAGATATGGGTGTGAAAAAATGAATTTTTTAAATCCATGTGTCATGGGTTGTTTTTTTGTGCATATGAAAAAGATAAACAGTACATAAGTATGTAATTGATATTACAATTGTCAAAATCGTTAGAATAAAATTTTACTATGTTACTCTTATCGGAGTTGGCCCTCAACTATCTACTCTGAAAACTTCAATTAAATAATTCTATTTGCAGAAGCAAAATAACGTTACTTAAATTCATGCGAGTCAAGCAACAGATCGAAAATAAAATGCAGAATGGGCCATAAACAGCAGTACAATAAAAAAAAGCAAAAACCATCCATTTTGGTTTGCTCGAGTGGGCTAGTTCTATCCGTCAGTAGTAGAAGCTTGTTTAAAGTTTTTTTTATCCATACAGATAACATAAACAAATAATACTGTCAACTTATAGTTGTGGCCTTACTAAAGAAATTTTACCTGTTATCAAGTAAGAAAAATACTTCTATAGCATTGCATAGGTAAACTTCAGTTGTCATTTAAGAGAATAAGAGTAAGAAATCAAAACAAACCTTAGAAATGATACTATACTGATATACATAGCACAAATTTTCAAAACTATGTAGTTAGTTTAAATGCTGAAATTCGTAGTTAACAAGTAAAACGCACAATTGCAGCACTGTACGTACCAAAAACACTAACTTCTTTGCAAAAATCAGCGTTCCATGTTTGAAAATTTGAAACTTTGCATCTGTTGATTTTAAGCTAACTAGTAGTGAGGGTGTGGGTGTGGGTGTACAAATCTTCGCTTGATTAACACACCCACAGACCCCACCCACACCACACCCTCCAGTCGACAAAAAGACTACAGCAACATATGAAAATCTAAATTATTGTATTATTTGTTATTATATTTATGATAAAAATTTAATTATTCTAGATGTTTTTATGAATAAACATTTTCTAAGTGATGCAACAAAATCTTCTCAATAACTAGAGCTAGAGTTATGAAAATTTATTATAAGGTTCACCTCATTGCAAAATATAATATATCCAACTTTCAGCATTTTTGGATTTGCAGTACGGGAGACAAAGCAATTTTTCGAACAAGTACCAAAACTATTAACTCGCCCTTTATTCTGATATGAAGTCAATTGAAAGTGAGTAAAAATTATTCGTTGCTTTTTTGTCTTTATTTTAAATTTGTTATTCAATAATCGAATGTAAAAATAAGTTAAAATATATTATATTTAAGCCGTTCATTTTTTGACAATTACACAAGATGAACGAAGCAGAAAGAAGCCAATGATAACGAATCGATTCAAAAAATATCTGATGTATAGGTGTAAATTTAACATGATCCCATCGGATTCGCCTAGGATCAACTTAACAACTTTGCGACTCCAAACTCCTAATATATTCGATATAAAAAATACAAGCACTATCTTGCATGAATTATAATTTCTTACTGCCTTGCGTACATATATATCTTCTGTCTTCAGTCATAATAAAAACAAAATCGACCCTTTGTATTGCTGTTCTTACGCATTTCATCTATCGCACTGTTACTTTTGTTTTGAAACTCTTTATAATTATGAAACTTCCTTAATGCTTCATTATATTTAGATATGGAGCGTTTTTTAACAAATGTTTCATCGAATAGATGTCCAAAGATAATTTCAAATGTTGAAGATGGCATATAGTAGGCTAGAAACACTCTATCTAAAATGGACTTTATGTCGCGAAAGAAAGCAAAAAAAATAATTTGAAAGGTAATAAAAATCTATGTTTTTCCAATGAATTGATTTTCTCACAGTTGTCTCTACATTAAACGAACGCGAGTTATTCTCATACATGGTCCTTGCTGAACTAGATATTTTGACTTTCTCAACACTGCCGATCTAGAAAGCTTGAATTTTAGATGAATATAATTAACTTCCCTTTTAGTGATTAGTTGATAGTGAAAAATAAAAGACATGAATAATCATCGGCATCACACTTGTTGATCAATTCTTAAATCTTGAAAAGTTGTATATGTATATTTTCGTAAAGTTCTTTCGGATCAATGGTAACTTTCGCTCAACTTATATTTAAATTGAAAACCTTATCGTAATTAATTGGCCTGAAAAAAATTCTTTGTTCAGATGGTCATATAACATATAACTTTCCATAATGAATAATGACGTTTTCTGTACTTGTAAATCTACGATATCTATGTTAAATACTAAACGACACGACTGTTACTGGCCAATAGAAAACGAGAGAATGAGTAATTGATTTTCATTCGTCGCTCATTAATTTGTTTACTGTTGCTCTTTCATCTTTTTTTTTTTTTTGACTTTGAAAATTATGTAGGAAAAATAGTGTGTTTAGTTCTTCAAAAACAAAAAATGCAACCTATTCTGAAAGTCAATACTCGTCGTGTGCTGTTGCCGATTTTATCACTTCAACGATCTTTGACGACTAATGTATGTATGTTATTTTCATCATGTTATTTGTTTAAGTATGATTTTTAGCTGGATACACCTTGGCGAACAGCTTACGGTGGTAAATATACAGTAACATTAATACATGGAGATGGTGTAGGACCTGAACTTATGACACATGTTAAAGCTGCTATTCGGTAAAAATTTTACTCTTTTTATATATTCTATAATTGAATTGATAATTTAGATGTGTTCGAGCACCCATTGATTTTGAGGATATTCCATTGTCAAGTCATATAGCTAGTGATGAAATGTTTGAGAGAGCTGTTATGGCTGTTAAACGTAATGGAATAGCTCTCAAAGGTTAGTTCCTTCAAAACTGAAGTATTTATATATATTAAACTTAAATAGGTAATATTGCATCACAAAATACAACAAACTCACTTAATGTTCTTCTACGGTAATGTTTATCTTTTTTCGAATTTGTTATAAATAGTATTAATACTATTATTTGATATATTTTAGTACTCGTCTAAATTTATTTGCTAATGTGGTTCGTTGTAAAACAAATCTTGCTGTACCGACACGCCATTCAGGCATCGATATTCTTGTTATTCGTGAAAATACTGAAGGTGAATATAGTTCACTCGAACACGAGGTAGATATACAGATCTTTTTAATTTCTAATTCTATTAAATCTTGATTTCTTCTCTTTTTCAAGTCAGTTCCTGGTGTTGTTGAAAGTCTCAAAGGTTAATTTTAATATTTATTTTATATATAAATTTAATCGTCTTTATTTTATTTTTAGTTATAACACGAGCGAAATCTCTTAAAATTGCTCGTTTTGCATTTGAAATTGCAAAACATGCTGAACGAAAGAAAGTAACAGCTGTACATAAAGCAAATATAATGTAAATCAAATCTAATTAGTTTTTCCAAATAATTCATTATTATTTTTTTTGTTTTTTTCCTATAAAACAGGAAATTAAGTGATGGTTTATTTGTTGAGTGTTGTCGTGAAGTAGCTGCTGAATATCCAAATATTAAATTTGATACAATGATTGTTGATAATACATGTATGCAATTAGTTAATCGACCAACACAATTTGATGTTATGGTTATGCCGAATTTATATGGAAATATAATATCAAATGTATGTGCTGGTCTTATTGGTGGTTCAGGTCTTGTTGCTGGTTCAAATTATGGAGATCATTATGCGATTTTTGAACAAGGTACAAGAAATACAGGTTTAGGTATTGCTGGCAAAAATATTGCAAACCCATCTGGTATTCTTTTTGCTGCTGCAAATATGCTTAAATACTTAGGGTAAACTAATCGAATTTTTCTTTTTGAAACAAAAAAAAAAAAAAATTCCTTTTTAGATTGAATAAACATTGTTCAGTTATAAAGAATGCTGTTTTAAATACAATGCAAGAACATAAAATAAAAACACCGGATATTGGTGGTACAGCAACAACAACACAATTTATTGAATGTGTTTTGAATGAAATTGTTAAAATGACACCAACAATTGGCTTTAATTATGAAATGCAAAAACCAACTCTTTCTTTTAGATATAAAGATATTGACTAAAAATGTATTTTTTCTTTTTACTATTTTTGTTAATTTTTGTTTTTCGTTGTAGTCTTACAGTATCAGTATATAGCTATCTCAATATTTTCTTTCGAATGTATCTTACGAAAAAGAACAGCAGAAAATAAATGTACTGGACACGCTTCTATTTATGCAAGCTATAATAATAGCAAATTCTTCATTTTGAATTTATTTTTTTTTTAATGACAACAAAGAAACAACCAATCCTTTTATATATAAACAATCGCAAAATCCATCAGAAAACATTCGGATTCAAAGAAACTAATTCAACAAAAACGAAAATACGATCTCAGAATTTCAGATAATAAAGAAAAAGTCACTCCAGTAACCTTAGATTCTGTGTCTATTTATGCTCACATGGATCCCTCTTTTCTCTTGTGACTATATGCTATAGAAATTTCAGTGACTTTTTTTTATAAGATTCTAGGAATTATGATATTAGTTTAATGAGTTTTAGTACATTCTGATAAAACTATTTTGGGGGACAGGACCGACTTTTTCCTTCTTGAATAAAGCACTGTTGTTTTGGTTTGACATCATCAAAGATTTTCTTTTTTTTGATAATCATAAATCTCTTTTTCTCGGGACCTTTAATTTCTGAGTAAATATTATAAGGAATCGATCGATAATATGATGGATTTATACCTATAAGAGTTTTTTCAAAATAAACCAATGTGACGTAAATATATAGTAACTATTATTAACATGACGATTTCCAATTGTGATAACCGCATAGCGTTCACTGAAAACTTCTTATATCGAAGACGATAACCAACAATTCAATGTATCATCATTCACTGAAATAAAACAGGAAAATCAATGAATCTTAATTATTTTAAAATAAAAATATCTTCAATATATATTCAATTAATTTTTATGTTTCTCAAAATAATACTAAAAAAAAATCTTGTAAAATATTTCATAATTTGAATCTCGAGTAAGATCATTAGGAAATAAAAATCATCATAGAAATAAAAAAAAAAATAATCATATAAGAAGAGACTACAGATAACACTGATGGCAACTTCCAATTAGAATATAAAACTTGACGATAAACTGAATTATTTTTCTATAATCATTTAACCGGAACGAATAAAAATAAAAATACATAAAATAAAGATTTCTCAAAGCCATTCGACACATCTTCGAATAAATAATCAATAAGAAGTTTTGTTTCATTTCATAAATATAAGATTAAAACAAGAAAATATCTTGAAAATAGTTATTTATTGGGTTTACTGAGTTGCGTTAAAATTAATTTACAAAATTTGAAATATTGATTATATTATATAAAAAAAAAAAAACTTGCTTGTCTAATTAATTATTCAATGAGTTTTTATCAAAATTTGTGGCTCAAATACACATAAAAGATCATCGAATTATTTATTGGTCAACTATGAATTCAATCAATATTCAATATTTATGCACTTGGAATCCGGACAAGAAACTTAAAGTTTTGTAGTTATCTTTTTCTTTTGTTCTCAATGATAATCATTGAATATCTTAAGATGCTCTATCAAAGTGAAAATAAAATAAAACGTTGAACATGAAATAAAAGTATTCTTTTATTTATTTCTATAGATTTAAGTTTCTATAAAATAGTATTTTCTTTTTTGTGTTTTATAATAAGATCGTTTCTGAAAGCATCTTTATTTTTTCTTGATTAAAATAGCTTGTCAATTTCAGTTGAGAATTTTTATCCGTCAATTAATATTACATGATTATGTAATAAATTTTATCATAGACATTCAATAATTTATTAAAGATTTCATAGAATATTAACGTTTACGAAATGTTAAATGAAATTTTTCTTGTGTAAATCGAAGAACAAATTTCGTTGTAAATTAATTTAATGTTTATCAAAACAACGTTAGATAATAAAAAGAATTTTTTTTCTAGTTATAACAGATTGTTCAATATTGTCATATCTTTAAATCATGTTTTATGTAACAGCCATTAAAATACTTTTAAAATAAAAACATAAGTAGTTAAACGCTAAAAGATTGACATTTGATAAGATTTAAACAGACGGGATTTATGGATTTGAAATTATACAAAAGATTTTTTACATTTATTAGATGATGATCAATTTTATTTTGAAAACTTTTCAAAAAGATATCGCTATAAAATGATTTAAGTATTGTGTATATTTTCAACGATATTTTATTTTATAACAAGAAAAATTAGAACCAAATACAATGATTTATATCATGAAACTTATTTTAATAATCATTTCTTGTTTTGACAATAAAAATATTCAACGAATGCATTTTAAAGCTTATCGAAACAAAATTTAAAAACTTTTCTCGCAAAACCTTATCAAAGAATAAAATGAACTTTTATCTATTCATGTTCAATTAGAATTTATCATTAACTATTTTGTTTGTTCAAAATAATAAGCATTATTCTAATTACTAGAATAATAATCAATAATCTTTTAATTATGAATACTACTTATATAATTATTTATCAAGCATATAGAAAAAAAACATATACTTCTGATGGTTCAAAAGGAAATGATCATAAAAAGCAAAATCATGTTAATCTTATTCCAAAATTTTCTTTCGAAGAAAATTGATTCTAGAATTAATGAGCTTCTTTCTCAACATAAATTATTGACATTTCTTAAACAAATTAATTGATAAAACAGTTAAGAAAAACAGTGTTCAATTCATGTGCATGTTTAATTGGATATATAATAACAAAACTAATCTTTTTATCTCGAGAAAAAAAATGAAATAAAGAATTCCAATCATTATAATGATCATACTTGTTCATGGCTGCCTAATTTTTGTTCATAATAGCCTAAAAATAAATGTATGTCTAATTGGTTTGTTATCTCAGATATAAATTTGAATAGAGTAGATGCAATAACAGTTGGGAAAAAAATGGAAACAGAAATTATTTCATTACATTACGCCAGTAAACGTGAGCGTTTTTTTGCGATAATCATATTTTCGTTAATGCTCATATCTTTTTTTCTTCATTTGTGCGTATTTTCTAATATTTTTTACGAAAATATCACTGATCGAAATAATCAAATCTACTTAAGAGGTATAAAAATTTTTTTTTTTATTAATCATATTAATACATTAGTCTTTAGACAACAGTTCCAGTAATCATACAACATTATTGAATAAAAAGAATGTTGACAATTTAATTGCTACTATTCTTCTTCCATTTTTTTGTGTAATGGCTCATTTAATATGGACAATTGTTCCAATAGTTGTTCTTGATCGATGTTGTATATCAAACAGTAAATCAATTTATCGAATATTATTAAAAGTATTTATTTGTACATGTCCATCATTACTTTGTAACGAATTAAGTATTATATTTATTTGTCATAATAAATTTTTGATAAATGATCCATTAATAATTTCTATTAAATGGTTAATATTTATTGCAACAATATTTATTAGTTTTTGGACAGGAATTCTTAGTGATACTAATAAATGGCGTGGTATTCATGGAGGACAAATAGCACCTAAACAATATTCTTCATTATATCTATTTGAAAATTAATTCGATTCGATTCTTTTTGTTGTTAACAAAATTTAAATATCAATCAAATTGAATAAACAGATTTTTTTGTAAAAATAATTCTTACTCTGCGTCTGGTAATTCGATTGTGTATTTTCTTGTTGTTTAACAATAGAATTTTTGGCACATTTCAATGTCATGATCTAAAGATAGGAACGTCGAGCGAACAGTTAGTGTGATGTAAATATAGACATCAAAATAGTACTTATGAGTAAACATTTATTGCTCTTCTTTATCAACAAGGCTGATTAATGCAATGATCTTGTATAGCCTTGCCTTCATGCATTAAACATTTACTCAATTCTATTCAGATATTTCTTTCTTTTCTTTTAAGTCTTTTGTTTAAATTTAAGTTGTGTCTAAAAATGTAGATAAAAAGATATTTTATTGACAATGTATCGAGAAAAATATGGTTATTCCTTCACTTCAGTATTTTATTCTATGAGAAAATTCAAAAGAAAAGTACATTTTTAGTTCCATTCATTTATTTTCTGTGTTTTTGGTGTGAAATAAGATACATGCATCGTCAACATTAGAGCACAATAACATCTACTAGTAGGTATTGATAATTCTAAATTCTTATTGATACAATAAATTGCAAGAATTAGAAAACACGTATGATAATTTCTCAAAATATAAAATATTGGTACCATGAGGACATATTTCCAAGAAAAGCGATAAATTGAGCGAGATTCTGCAATGCAATACATAAAATAGAATAATTACTTTATCTTTTTCGTTATAAGAAAAATATTAAACCCAACAGGATATCTTTTCATATTTAGTTTTTGTCTGCCTTACGGTCCATTTTATCATTTGAAATTTGAGTTTGAAGTGTCTATAAAAAAGTATTTCCGTGTATATTCTGTCTAGTGATACATGGTAGACTGATTAAAAGATTAAATTTGATGAAAAACATTCTTATCAGAAGGGAGTTCACAGTTATGACAGAGAACCTAGAAATGTCAAAGGGCTACTAAGACTACGAAAAAGCGATTGATCACCTGGGGAACTTTCCTTGTCAGTTTTATCTTGACTATGTATCTGTTCCGCGGTTTCAATAGAAATAATATTATTGATAAATGCCAGACATAGTATATGATTGACTATAGTTACTATCTTAATATAAGTTTAGATTATATTCGATGACAACTTCCTAATAAGTCATTAGTTTGCTAAGACTGAGTTTTCTTTAGTTTGATTATTTTTTATCTTTAAATTATTTTTATCAAATCGAAATACTTGAATTATTTTTTTTTGTTCAGTTTAATTTTTACTGATATCATAAAGTTTATCAACTATGGGATATGGCAATTAACGAATAAATTCGTATAACATAAAAAGTTTTATTCAAGTTCTTTTTTTTTTTAATAAAAAATATAACTTAGTATAATCTATTTATATAATTAAGAAAAAGAAACACACCGGCCACAGAAGAAATAATTGAATAAGTTTAAAATTAAAATGAAAATAAAGAATGTTTCAATAATAATAAAAATTTAATCTGTTGAAATATTTTCTTTGAAATTGATCAAATGAAAATAGATTTATATTAATAAATATTTTCATAAAGTATTTTCTTCAGAAAAAGAATCCTTATTTAAATTAATATTGAAAATAATTTAAATGAATCTGATTAATTTAAAATTGATTCAGATAAAGAAAATAATTATTTAAAACTTGATTGAACAAAAAAACAATGAACGTGAGTAAAGAAAAATCGATCAAAATCAAAATAGATGATACTAGATTGACGAATTCGATAAATATTTTCAATAGAATTACAATATTCTCCTATTTGACATGACAATTGAACACGATCGACTACTTGTGATCGATTATTCATAGCAAATCGAGTCGATTTTCTTGGGGGTGGTTTAGAAGAAAACAGCATACATCATTCGACTCAGATGGTGTGGGTGTGGGTGTTATTCTTTTCTTACTCATTCACAAACCCACACCCATATATAAATTTTAATATTCATTCTCTGATCTTCTGTTTATCCATATAGAATATGAAAAGAAGCTGTACGTCGTTCTTCATGCATAGGCATTTCAATAATTCTATATAAAAATTGTGAACGAACAACATTTTCAATATCTTCAGTTAAAGTATAATCTTCTCGAAGAAATATTATTGATGTTCGAAGAGCATGACAACAGAGATGAGCTTCGATTTCCTTCGCATAATCTCTATCAAAAATAAATAAATTTTTTTCATTGTAATTTTCGTAAATAAATGAAAATCTTTTTCGAACATTAACAATAATTATTTGACAATCAGCTAATTCATTTGAATTTGTCGATAATATTAAAATTGCATAAGATATTTGATGATTTTGAGTTATGGAATCTGTAGATGATCGAGGAGAATCAGATCTTGATGATGAGTTATAAATATGATCATCGATTTCTAATCCAATTCGATCACTAACAAAATTTGATGTTTCATGCGTTGAAAATCTTTTTCACGATGGTTCATAATTTGATGATTGTCAATGTGAAGTTCTTTCAAGACATCTATAATTACAATTGAATCCATTTCATTAATAAAAACGCAACAGAAATTACCTGTTCGAAGGTTTGTCAGTTGATGATGGTTTTGTACTCGTTCACTGGATGTCTCTTGCGGGTAAAACAACTAAATGAACTCAATAAATATTCATAAATTATTCTGGAAATTTTTTTACAAAGTTTATTTCCTTTTAATATCAAAGGTATTTGTGATTCTTGGATTCATTTTTTTGCCTTATCAATTCCATTATATTGCGCGAATATATGATCTTTAAAAGATCATATATCTAAAATTTCGAATAAATGGCGAACATTAAAATAAAATTTCAAATCTGAAACTTTTCAGTTGGAGCATTTGCATTAATATTGTCTCTTAAAGATAATATTAGGAATAAATGACAAGAAGAAAAATGATAAAAATCTACACTTCAAGATGTGTTCGTTTTCGATTGTATCATTCATTTTCAGTTTTACTGTTTCGACGATTTGGAGATGAAGACAAATTTGAGAATTTATCATGATCTCGATGAGATTCCAACTTGTTATCAATGAATATGTTGATTAATCTATTGAAGAATAAATCTCACTAATCAAGTTTATTTCTATATCTCTATTTGTTTAAAATCAAAACTTTTTAATTGAAAATTAAAATTCATCAATAAATGTCTAACATAATCAATTTTTATAATCGCAGTTATAGTTGGTTATTTAAATGCATAAATATGCTGAATGAAGGAAAGTAACGAAGGAATTTTATTGGCTATCAATACTTTTCATTGTAAATCAAATTTTCTTTTATACTTACTAACATAGTGAAACACAAGGTCTTATTTTCTTTATTTTATACCGAATCGTTTTCATAATGGATCAACGGCCTATTCAAGAATCGAATACGCCGTCTGGCGATTCAATAACTGTAAATAATATTTCTTTACCAATCATAATATAAAACAAAAACTTAATTGAAGCTTGAATCTTTTTTTTCAGAATCGTCAACAAGTTACCGGTCATATGGGTGTGTTGATCAACCAAAATAGTGCATTACGTCAACATAATTCTAATTTATTTGAAGAATTAGATAGACTTCGACTTGAAATAGTACAACAACAAACAAATTATGATCAACTTTTACAAAACACTTTATGTAATTTGGCAACTACGAATGATGAATTAACTAATCAACTTAATGGTTGTCAACAAGAAATAAGTAGTTTAAAAAAAGAAAATGATCATCTTAAGCAAACATTAAATAATGTTCAAAAAGAAAATGATCATCTTAAACAAGCATTAAATAATTTGCAAAAAGACTATGATCAAGTTACACAAACATTAAATAATTTGCAAAAAGAAAATGATCATATAAAAAAACAATTAAATAATTTACAAAAAGAAAATGATCGTGATAAAGAAGAAAATAAGCGTTTTAAAAACATTTAATTAAAGGAAAAAGAATCATACATATAATTAGGATTAGGTTGTTTCATTATCATTGTTAATTACTTGTAAACTTTGATTTTGTTTTCTTATTGATAAATAAACAAGATGTTGACCATTTCGATCCGATGTTTTTAAAAGAATATCGAGAAAAAATGTTTTCAATGCACATACAGACTGTACGTGTATCTAATCATTTGTTCTTGAATCATTTTAAACAATATTGAAATTAACTTTATTGCACAACGATTAAAAAGTAAAATAAAATTTGATTTTTTTGACTGTATCAAACATAATAGCACGTTATTGATACATAATGATACAAGCAAATAAAAACTTTGAGGAATTTTCTCACTAAATATATACTGTTCTCAAGTTTTTTGATTTTCTAGAGGGCTTATCGTTCATCAACTGATCTTCTGGCGTTAAACATCCTTACTTTAGCACTTAAATGTTTAGTATTTCTTCCATTGCTTCATTTTATTCTTGTAGAATTTACGGCGATAATGTTTCCAGCATTATGTACTTTTCATTTCACAAAATTTCAATGTTTGTAACATATTTTTGTTTTGTAGAAAATGAACTAAATTTTGTAAAACCAATATCTTGAAAAAGTACTAGATCTTTCTACATTGTTTTGGAACAAGCTTATCTTTTACGTAATGATTGCATAGAGATTAATCCAAGAGTTTTATTTTTCTATATATTTATCTCTTGTCTTGTACTTATTGGCTGAAAAATAATTTGATTGCAATGAAGATATCACCAATTTACAAGTACCAAAGAATTGTATTTTTTCGCAATCGTTTTAGTTTTGAAATATATTTCTACAAAAGAAATTATATATGCTAATAGTTCGTGAAATTTTCTATCGCCATGTATGCTTGAAACTTTTAGTTTTCAACCATTTTTTGGCTCATATGTCGAATATTGCTGGTAATGGGAGTAGTACTTTATCTTTACTAGTAATTAAGTAACTACTGTAGCTACTATTTACTAGTAACTGTGTAACTATTGTAGTTACTTTTAGAAAGTAACTAACTAACTATATTAGTTACTAGTTACCAGTAATAATCAATATTTAATAGGTAAACTATTTCCTTTTATTGATTTTAATTACGAAAATAATGAATTGATTAGTAAATATATTTGTTTTTCTTTAAAATCGTAGATGATTCGATTCTTGGTGATATTCTTAGGAAACAAACGACACATCTTAAGATCGATATTAAGGATGCAGATAGAGAATCATTTGGAAACATTTTCCTATTGACATTGTCTGTGTGTAAAAATTTAATGGATTTAAATTTTTGTGATTTAGTTTTGGAACGAAAACATTGGAATTGTCTATATAATTTACTGCCAACAAGTTTTACGTCTTCAACTTTAACTAAATTAAAAATCAATGTCAAAACTTTTACCGAATATTTTTTTCTTCTTCAAGCACATTTCAACTGTTTATCAATCAACATTAATTATTCATATCGAAATAATTTATTATCCTAAACGACATATTGATGAGACAGTAAGGATTATTTCGATCATCATTTTTATATTATAAAGAATCAAATAGATATTTTCAATATTAATATTCATTCAAGAAAAAACTTGCCAAATGAAAACATTTATCATTGATTGCATCTTCATACACAAATCATTATGATACTTTTATTTTTACATTTATTCGGCTAATAATAAACCTTGAAGAATTGAAATTCTATTTATTAATAGAAATATTTGACTCGAATTATATTATTCAGGTATTCAATTATATGATCAAATTCCTATTCATATAAAAAACTTAAACAAATTAACGCTTATTATTCAAACACTTGTCTATACATGTAAGACTAATATAAATCTTTCATTGGAAGAGAATTTATATAGAAATATTTATTAAAGTATGATCAAAACTAAATATCATATATATTCACTTTTATATCAATTCGAATATTTACCTCGTGTAAATAATTTTTTTCCAGGAGGCATATTTCATAGAGTTCGACGTTTGACAATGATTGATGAATATCCTTTTTCAACATTTTAAAATTATATTTCAAGATTTACCTTTCGTTGAAATCTTACATATACATTATGATAAACTACAAAAAAAAACAAGCAATATTCATCTACTATATTAATTACATTTTCTTAGCTTAAACTTCTTAATCTAAAATTGACACATCTAGATTATACTGAACAATTTCTCTTCAAAAAAAAATGACTGATCTACCTCATTTATTAAATCTGTGCATTAACTATGAATTACTTACAATGATAAAAAACAATTTTGCCATTGATAAAACATGTTTTAACTTTAGTCAAGTAAAGGATCTTGATTTAAATAAATCGTTTCTTCATTTAGAAAATATTCTAAAATATTTTCCTTTGTTATAAATTGTTCATTAAAAGCATATTTTCTATTTGTGTTATACTGCAATAAAAAAAAACAGCGAGAAAAATCTAATCTTCTTTTTCTGAAGATCGGTAGAAAACAATTTGTTCTCTTTTATATTGAGATATAATACTATTGAAATGTATGTTTATGTCTTGTCAAGGCATTTGCTTTTTCTCATATCTGGAAAAAAACATTGAAGATATTCTCTTTGATGCATAAGTCGTTTCGAAATTGTTCACGACTATGTTTTTCTTCACTCAGCAATGTAATACATATTAATAAAGAAATTATTCTTGTGTCTGTAATAAAAGAGATAAATTATTATTAAAACTTCCATTGTAATTCCAATTATCGATAGTTTGTCTTCTTGGTACAAATTTCATATGAACTTTTTTAAAATGTAGAAGTTTATGTTTCCATATGAAAATCTAATTATATTTATTAAATATTACTTAACTATATTTAGCGTTATATGTTTACTATATATGACAGGCTTTTCAGACTACGTGACGTTTGTTCTGCTACCATAGAGCCGAAATCCTTGTCATAATATACTAAAAAATAATGATTAGTGAAAAATGCCATTCTTTCGGCGTTTTTTGCCGGAACTTTTATTTGAGTTTGAATTTTCTATGTGATAGTAGATTTCATCATCCAACTTTGTTGGATGCAGAAAGATGCATATTTAAGCCCTTATTAAGATAAAGTTTCCCAAAACTAATCTTCGATAGAAACCGTTCATTTTAAAAGTTGTAGATCGATTGTTTACCTGTAAACATAAAATATAGATCNTATTAATCAATTTATTTTTAATGATATATACTATATCAAATAAAATATAACTAAATTATTTATAATTTAGACTTATTCAAAAAATTATAAATTTATCTAAACTGATTCAACAATCAAGTCAATTTTTGTTTTTGGATTATTTGAGTATTATGATTATTTTCATAGTTTTTGGATACAGACTATTAGGAAACAATTGCGACAATAACCAAAAGTTGTGTTATGAGAAGATTCTAAATTATTTTTTGAGAAATAGTTTAATATTTTGCAATATTTTGTTCATTTCTATGTATTATCAAATGACTATTCTCTAATCAAAAGAACTCAAATAAGAACAAGATAGATCTTCGACTAAACAATATTCACAAATCTCAATAGAAAAAATTCTTTTCTTTCAATCTGCACAATTCCAACATTCCTAACTTGTTCTGTTTGAGAGTTAGAAGGCTTTTCTTGAGATCCACACCCCTCAGCGGATCGACCTATGATCATTGCGACAAACAAGTAGAGGACGACAATTTTCTATGCTGAGTTGAATGATAATATTTATTTTTAGATTTGAAATGATCAGATTCTGTTATCGTAATATTTCTGAAATTCCATAATGAGTTTTCACGTAACAAAGGAGTTGATATTTCGAAAATATTGAGACAATAGTGTCAAATCAGTTCGAATCTAAAAATAAAAATCATCATTCGAATCAGTATGATGAATTACTCTTGCCTAGCTGCTTTTATGGGTGATCACAAGTCGCTTCAATTGAATCGGAGATCTAAGAAAAAATCTTATAAGGCTCAAGCAGAACAAGTTAGGAATGTCAACCCTACGTAAATCAACAGAGAATAATGTCTTCTATTGTCGTGCCCTATTAAAATTCCAAATCAAAAGAGAAACGACTTCAGAATATCGTTTTCAAGAATCTTTACCAAGAAACTCTCTGATTAGTTAATTTCTGACCAGTCTTATTTCGATATAGTTTCATGGTCCTGAGGTTTCTCTCTTGAATAATGAAAACGGTAGATTTTTATGATGTGTCTATGAAAAATTATTGAGAAAAACAGTGTAGCAGATTATACTTTGAAATGGATAGTTGATAATTATAATATTTGAATGATATAACAAATAGAATATAATTTTATAGTAAAGTCAACTTAGATGAAAATTTATTTGTATATCCAAGTCTGAAATAATATTCGATTTCGATCGATTCGTTTTTTTTTTTATTTATAAAATAGTTTAATTTATTTTCGATGATAAAAACTTACCATCTCGTATTAATCTTTGATAAAGTGATGTTTCTCCTTTATTTATTGATCTCATTATAAAATAAAGAACAGCTTGAACAGCATTAACATTTGAAAATCCAGGTAATAATGGTAATACAACATAAACTCGAAATTTTTCTTTATTAATAGAAGCTCGAACTATCCGACGATAAAGTGCATCACCAATTAAATTTTTAATTGTTGTATCATTAGCAATTGAAATAAAAAATTGATTCTAAGTAAAAAAAATTCTTTTTTTTAAATTAAACAAATAGAAAAGCTAAAAAAGACTTCAATATAAATAAAATGTTGAGCACTATCAATCATATGAATATAAGCATTTTGTATTGAAGTTTCTTCTAAATATGTTCCACATGACCAAAATGCAGCAGAACGCACACATTGAGCATCAACACGAATTGGTTTTTGGTTTTCTCCAAGAATTTCAGAAAGCATTGATGAATCAAATAATTCATTATCATCATAACTTTTTGGAAGAATATATGGATAAGATTCATTAAAACGAAATTTATCTGCCTATTTTATAATGACAAAGGAGAAGTCGAAATTTTAAAATATTTAAATAAAAACAAAGAAAAGTTAACTTTATGAATATTCCATCGTTGAATAAAATGTCTAGCACAATCTCTTGCTGCTTCTCCAGTAACAACTAAAGCTTCATCATGCCATGGCATTCGTGGGGAGGTTTTACGATCAATAGAATCTTTTTAAAAAAATAATGACGCATTAAATATGAACTATGAGATAAAGTGAAAACCTTCATCGAATTTTTCAAGACATCCAAAGTCTTTGTCATAAGGATTTGCATAATCTTTGCCCATAAAATACCGACATTTTTTATCGAGCACTGGTGTTACACCAATGATTGTTCTTGGTTTTTCATCAATTGGTTCTTGTAGAATATCTTCATCTTCATCCGACGAATCTATATTTTCATCTTTTCGAATTTTCTATTATTTCCAATTAGAGAAAAAAAGAGAATTTTTAAATAAATGTTTTAAATAAATAACTTTTATTATTTGTCTCCATTTTTTTTTTAATTCACGAGGTCGTTGTTCAGCGTTTTCTTCTTCAGCTAAAAGTTGCATTTCAGTTTTGTTTAACACAGTTCGAAAATTGGTTACTTCTTTAACAAATACAATTATATCGAATAATTTAAAAAAAAATTTTTACCTGATGGTTTTGTTATATTATTATTATTAATTGTTTCATCATTAAGATCTATTTTAATAAAAATATGAATAAACAATTATTTAGAAATAATAAATAATACTTTGATTTTGATTTGATTTTAATAATGAGTTTTTTTCTTCTTGATCAGATTTTTGTAGATTAAACAAAGATTTCGAGATTGTTGTTGAAGAAGCCTTTCAAATATTATATTTAATTCATTCATATCAACAATAAATTAAATATATATATCGATTTAAAAAAAAAGATTCAATTGACTTTTTATATTCGAAAACAATCACTTTTTATCTCATATTTTAATTGGTTTTTTAATAATGATTTATCTTATAAGATAAAATGTTTTTATTCAGAATAAAAACAAAACATAATTTTAAGTAGAAGAAAACTGTTCGAGCTTTCGAACATGGAAAATTTAATTTATTTTGCGTAATTNTTATTTATATATTTATATGAATGATATGTTGAAAATTGAAATTCTACTATTGATTATATCGAAGTGGGTCGAATATAAAGGGTATTCCGGAAGTTCTAAAACGATTTTAAAATTCATCGTTCTCGTATTCAACAAATGCAAACTCTTTGAAACCTTGGCATATTATTGCACGCACATATCTAGTGCCACATAACTATAAAGTTTGAGGTCTATAGGTTGTACAATAGAGGAGAACTTGTAACAACACTATGATGTACTATTTTTTTAATTTTCTTCTATTCCGGATCTGCCAAAATATCTATATTTCGGTTTAGGTAGATGATAAAATCTTGAATCTTTTTTTTAAAAGATGCGCCGTTAAAAGCTCTACAAAAATTGTAATAACAAATCCCTATTGACTTGTGTTAAAGATTGCTGCCATACGCGAAATGAAAAACCTACATGATAGTACTATTTCTCACCATATTGTGCGTATTAAAAAATGTTTGGAAGATCTTTTTGTTTTGCATGTATCTAAGCTTGAGAAAATGATAAAGTCTTGATTTTGTTTTTCAAAATATACACCGTCGAAAGCTCTACAGAAGGTGCATAAACAAATTTCTATTGGAAAGCAAAAAAGTCTTTTAAACCTTCTTTTATTACGCACAATATGGTGAGAAGTAGTACTACCATGAAGGTTTTTCATTTTAAGTATGGCAGAAACCATTAATACAAGTCAATAGGGATTTGTTATTGCAGTTTTTGTAGAGCTTTTCACAGCGCATCTTTTAAAGAAAAAAAATCAAGATTTTATCATTTATCTACACCAAGATATAGACGAAATAAAAAAATGTTGCATACCCCAAAGATGACCAGAAAAATTTTAAAAATAGTACATATCACTGTTGTTATAGTTTTTCATCCATAGTACAACCGATAGACCTGAAACTTTGTAGTTATGTAGTAGTATATATGTACAACAATCTATCAAAGTTTCAACGAATTTGCTTTTGTAGAATAGTAGAAAGATGAATTTAAAAATTGTTTCAGAACTTCCCGTGACACCCTCCTTTATTTTATTAATATTAGTTTTCAACAGAGAATAATTCTATTTGAGAAAGAATATTCATTTAATAAATAAATATTGAATTTTCTATATAATTAATTAATATTGTTTTTTGAGATTATTTCATCTATTATTATAAAAATATAAAATAACGTTCAATTTAATTTTAAAAAACTAATAAGAAATATTAATCTTTTTTTCTTTTTTTTTTTTTTTTTTTTTGTAAAAACTTTATTCAAAAGTAAATAAAAGTTCGATTAAATCTAAACAAATGATAAATTACTTTTCCTCTTTCGATTTGTTATTGTTCGTCGAAATGTTATTTTAACAAATAACTTAACAGCAACGTTCGATTTTTTTTCTTCTCGATAAAGTTAGTTACCGTTTGTTGTTGTTGTCACAGTTTGACGTTTCGTTCTTTGATATATTTACACTTTTAAAAGTAATCTACTCAAAACGTGTTTAACTATTACATTTAAAACATAGATTGTTTATATTTCGATAAAAAAAAGAGAAAACGAAAAGAAATATTTTTTTTCGTATATATATATATAGAAATGGATATAATGAAACAAACCTACCTCGATTATAAAACAATGGTTAATAATAATTCAATAAAACGTTTAATTAATATAGTTAATAATCTTGAAGAAAAATTATCATCAGTTAAATTAACAAATGATAAATTAAATGAACTAATATCAATTGTATCAAAAACACATGAAACTATTTCTCATGAATTATCAATTGTTAAAACTATTTTAAATCAAACTATTATGGAACAAGAAGAAGATGAGTACGTCAACTTTATTTTATCTTTATATGTAAATATTGATTGGATTTTCTTTTCTTTTTTTATTATTAAAGAATAATTCCAATTGATGGAACAAAATCCGAATGGGATGATGATGATGATGATGATGACGATGATGATAAGGAATTTCAATCAAGAAAATTAAATAAAAATATTCTACGAGAAAATTCTCCATTAATTCGTCGAACTAATCATATTATATTAAATTCTGCATCATCAAATGATTCATCATTAATAATTGAAAATAATTCTAATTCATCAATAAGTAAACGTTCATCAAATATGAAAAAATCTTCTCAACAATCATCATCAAGAACAAAATCTCCTAAATCAGTTACATTTAGTCTTGATGAAAATCTTCATGATGATCAACAACAACAACAAGAACAACATTTTATTGAATATACTCAACAATTACACAATGATACAAGTTTTATTTCTTTTTGTTTAATTAATTAAAATTTAATTTTTATTTCTTTTTAATTAAGAAAATGAAACATTTGATGAAATAATAACACCAATTATTCCTTATTCATATTCTAATTCATCAAAACAAAATCAATTAGAAATAAAATCAAAAATTGAAACGTAAGATTTTATTTTTTGTTTTAATAATAAATATTTTTTATTTGAATATAATTAAAGAATAACAAAAAATATTCGTATTCATGAAATTGAACAAAAAAATGGTGATTATCTTCGTTTATTAAATATATCAAATTCTGATGATTATGATTTAAGTGGACATTATTTACAACAAACAATTGATTCAAAACAATTTTCTTGTTTTAGATTTCCATTTAATACAATTATTAGAGCTGGACATACTATTACAGTAACAATCATTTATTAACTTTATTTCAACTTTTTTATTTTATTTTATTTTATTTTAAGATTTGGTGTGGTCATTTTAAAGATATTAATCCACAACCACCTTATGTTTTTCTTTGGAAAGAACAAAATAAATGGCAAACAGAACCATTATGTCTTACCATTTTGGCTAAACCAAATGGACAGGTTTTTATTTTATTTATCTTACATCTTATCAACTAATCATTATTTTCACAATAGAAATCGAGAGATTTTCATTATCGAATAGATATTGAATAACAATCAGTTTGATCTTATATAATTCTGTTGCGTGTAAACATTCATTTTTATGATTGTTATGTATTCGGCACGAAATTACAAAATTGACTGAAAATTAGAAATAGTAATTGGAGAGTTTTTTATAACCATAAACTTGGATGATTTATGAAAATTTTTATGATAATATTGAAATATATTTCTTGTATTGTTGATATTATAAACATGTGATTAAATATTAGTCGAGAAAATCAACTAGAGTTTTTGTTTTGATTCATTTTAATAATAAAAAATTGAATTAATAATTTTAGCCAATAGCATCATATAGAAACTCTCCTCATATTGATCCAGATCAATCATCAAGTAAGCAGAATTTGTTTTTTTCTGTCCAAAATAAAAATTTAAAATTCTATTTTAAGGTGATATTCTATTTTTACACTCAAAATCTACAACAGGATCATCAGATGTATCCAATAATTCACCGAGTTCAATTAAGTATTTATTCATTAATTATATTTTAAAACAAAATATTCATTTTTTTTTTTTTGTTTCTTAATAAAAGCAATAGTTCTCATATAAATATGAGGCAAAGTCGTTATTCAACATTTAATAGAAATGGAAATAATAAACCACCATTTGCACATTCACCAAATAATCCAATACATCCTGATCATAATGGTACAATTATGAATATGCCCAATGATCTTCGTTCTCAAACGAATCAAAGAGTTTCTGTTAGATTTTATTGAAAATTAAAAAAAAAAAAAAAATTTTTCTTTT